TTTGCACCACTTGGCATCAATTGCGTGAGGTGAGGTCTCATCCACATTGAGGAAACTGTGGTGGCTGCAGGTCAGATGCTTCCGTGTCACCTCTGCGAGCCCTGAGTGGCAGCCGGACACTGAGTGCGGGGGAGTTCAAATAACCAGAAGTATTTGCGCCCACACCCCATAGGTCGCGGGCTGTAGGACGATGGTCCTTCAGAGCTGCCCCTGCTCTCAATACGGATGTAAGGAGAAGCGTCTTAGAGAGGCCCCATGCCCGCCGGAGACGGGCTGTGTGTCAGCCAAGCTTTGTCAGGCTGGAGAAGACTTCACGCAGACATAAGAGGCTGTTGAGAGTTGAGCCTAGAGGACTTAACTTCCAAAATCAGGTTCTAAAGCGTCTCCAGCTCTCTCCCCTCTGCCACAGTGACCCTGCGTAGCAGTTCCCAGTCCTTTGCCCCATTTCCAACAAACTGCAACTTTGCTGCAAACTCGACCTCTGTCCCCAGCCGCTGCGGTTGCTCTGCAGCGTGCAGGATGTGGGCAAGCCAGCATTGCCAAGGCAACCCCTCTGTTTTGATTTCCCCACACTCAGGCTGGCAGCCTTTACCCCCCAGCTCAGCCCGGCAAGCCCTGCACGCCAATGGCTTGTGGTGCCATCCCAAGCTGGCCCTCAAAAGGAGCTTGTTTTCCACCCACGGCCGCCCGTAGCTCTGCAGAAGTGGCAGATGCTCCCCACCCTTGGAAACCGGCTCCTTTGGAGCCAGTGTGGATTAAAGAACCTCATGTTAGACGCCCAACTTTGATTAAAACTTACACAAGCTGCACGAACCCTGGCCATGCAGAGCTGCTGTCATACGGAGCCGTCCATCCCTGTCCGCAGGATTTTCTGAGCAAGTTACCATGTCAGCTTTCCCCTGACTTGCTGCCAGCACCAGCTACCCAAAAACAAAGAGCTCATTTAACAGGGTGTTTAGCAGCCCTCTGTGTCTCCCAGTGCTTCCCTGGCCCCAGTTTTTGGTCCTGTACCTTGACCCAAAAAACCAGCCAACCTCCCAGCTGCAGCTCCACGTGTGTTGAGCGCCTGGTTCACACCCATGGTGGGCCCAGGCACAGCTCTCCTGGCTCATCCCATCTCTAAGGGGAGATGTTGCTGTCACACCAAATTGAGCAGCAGCAGGGATTTTTACTAAATGCAGCTCCTCGCTGCGCTCACAGGCTTTCAGCTGGCAATGGGCGCCCTTGGGTAACCCCTCTGCCCCTGGTGGTGTGGTGCAAAAGGCACCAGTTTTTCTACTTTCTCCTCCCCTTCTTTTTTTTTCTTTTTATATTAAACTGAAGAACCCCTTTATTTAGCGCACAGACATCCCTTCATCTACAAAACAAAAGGCGATGCACACACCAAAAAAGAAAAGGCATTTTGAAAACCAGCTGCAAAGCCGTGCTGAAAGGTGGCCCTGGGATTTCGGCACTGCTCACTCAGGGCAGTGGCAGGTACCTCTGCCTTCCCCTTGCAAGGGATGCTCAGCTGCATCCCTGTTGTTCTGGGCTTGCCCAGCGCGGCTACACCTCCCTGCTTGGGAACTTCCCAGGAACAAGCAGCAAGGGCCTCTGCAGCGCATTCAGCTCCGGTTTAAAGTGGAAACATTTCAAAGGCCTCTGCCTTTTTTTTTTTTTTCTTCTTTTTTTTTTTTTCTCTGCAAACAATTAATTACAAGTTTAAGAGGAAGTTCCAGCCCTCCTTCCCTCCCCAGAAGTTTAGAGGCAATAAATATAAAGCAGCTCAGCATGCAGGAATAAAATTGTACATCCTGTTTTGTCTGAAATGAGGGCGGTTGTTGTTTTGGGGCTGGTTTTTTTTACTTCTTTTTTGGAGTGAAGTGTATGATAGGCGTCCAGTGTTCCTGCCTGGATAATGAGCTGTCAGGATATTTATGGATAAATGGCAAACCTGTGCTTCACAGGGATGATTCAGGCCTAGGAAAAGCTGTTCTGTTTATTTGTGTTGCAGTTTAACCTTCACTACAGCTGTCCTGAAAAAAGGCCTCAGTGAGGATGAAGGTTGGGACAGGGACCAGTTTTAAGAAGTGGCTCTCACCGCCCTCCCCCCTCCCCTTTGCTTGTAATGCCTGCGGGCAGCAGATAGCAGAGACCGGTGCCCAGGGAGCCTGTGCTCCTCTCCCCTGCGAGCAGAAGCAGATCTGTAAGGCTCACCGCCAGCTCCGGGCAGGGGGTAAGGAGGGGATCGATGGGATTTCAGTCTCCAAGCCCTCCTTGGTCACCTGTGATTTCTCAGGTGGGGGATGGCGGTGATACCACCTGGGTAGGGGAAGGAGGCAACACAGGGAGCAGACGGTTTCCTGAGGCCAGGAAGCTGCTTGGCAGCAGAGGTGGGGTGGAAAAGGCTCTTCTGCCTCTGGCAGCACCATCCCTCCCTCCTGGGTGCATGCTTGGCATCCCCACCATCCTGCTTATATATTTTTTTTTTTAATTTTTTTTTAATTCCCCTTCTATCAAGCAGAAACTGGAAGATGCAGCAGACTGGACAAAAATCCAGCAGTAAAACATTAGCTACAAACATTCTTGTTTAGCCAAAGCCCAAACCACCTCCCAGAGCTCTCTGTTTCACTTGGTAAATCTCAAACGGGAGTTTTTCGGAAAGGCACCCGCAGAAATTTCTACGTCCGTTTTCATTGCAGTTCCCATGCGTGTGTTCAAAAGAGAAACTGCCAGCTGACTGCAGCCAGCTCAGCGACGTTCTTGTGCAGATTGAAACAATAGATTTGCAGTGGTCAGTCTGTTTCTGTGGGGGGCGGGGAGGGTACACCCTTCTCTTTACATGGGATCTGAGCCCTTGTGAAGTCCCAGATTGAGACCTTGGCATCTACGCTGAAGGATTCGGTTCTTGGGGTCCCGGCAATCGGGTATGAAAGCCAGCAGCCAGGGGCAGCTAGTGAAATGACCCCAAAAAGCTTTGTAGGTCCTGGGATGGGGTTTCTGAAGGCAGGTTGCCCATTGGGAGCTGCCTTTTCGGGGGCTGCCCACCAGCTCCTGCCTCAGCAGGGCGGCCCCGCTTCCTCCCCAGGGCATGGGCAGCAGCGCGAGGGGCATGGTTAGGGTTGGGTGTGACTTGTGGTTTCTTTTTTGGGCAAGGCAGGTGGCTTTACTGTTCGTTAGGAAGTGGGGTGTTCACTTAGGGTGTCAAAGTGAGGTGAAAGGATGCACAGTGATGCTGGAGACAGGGGGCCAGCTCCCAAAAAGCTCAGTACAAGAGAGTATCCCATAGCGGGTACCGCAACAGCAACAAATGCGATTCAAAGCAAGGAACGGTAGCGCTATAGACAAGAAGGCTTTATCCAAAACCAGACTAGGTCCCCTTCCCATTCCTACCTAGAGGTACCCAGGCTCTGCAAGAGGAAGAGCCAAGGAGTTGGTGGTCACAGCGGGCAAGTGGAGCAACCCCTCTGGGACAACTTTGGAGTTCAGGCTCTAGCTCTTAAGTTTTTGTTAGGTGGAAGGGTTGGCTTTCCTCTTCCTGCACCTCAGTTTCCCCTCCTGTGCACATGGGGATTTCAGCATTCCCTCAAGAGGTGGCAGGGCTTGAATCCCAAAGGCTGACAAAGACACTGACATAAAACACCGAGCAGGGGTTAAACATGGTGTTAGACCCTGATATTGCTCCTGCCGGCTCTTCATCTGCACAACCTGTAATATAGTGACCCTTGTGTTGAACCAGAACCACAAACTCATGGCACAAAGCCCCCTGCCCTACTCAAACCCCTGGGAGCTTTGCCTGGCACCAGGAGAGGAGGAGAGCCGTGAGCAGAGGCAGCAGCTCCCTACCCCTGCAGGAGGGCTTCCCTGGGAGCCCTGCTCCTCAGCAGCACCTCTCCCTCCCTGAGGGAGAGGAAAACCTGACGTCAGGCTGCAGAAATGCTCCTCGGCCCTACCCAACCCTTGGAGGAATTCCCAGGTGAGGCATGGCAGAGGCTCCTCCATCCCCAGCCAACCCTCATCCTCCCCCACTGCTGCCTTTGCGGCCAGCCCCGGGTGCAGGGAGGTGGCCATGGGTGCAAGGCTGCTCGCCAGGGTCCAGCTGCCTGACCACCGCCTGTGAGTCCCACTGACCATAACCCCCATCAAAAATTCAGGTGGTTTAACCACAGCCCCCACCCCAAACCTGCTGGCAGTGCCCCGGGTGCCAGAGTGGCAGGGCTGGACCCTGGCACGGTGCCTGGGATGGGCACACCTCGTCTCTGCCCTGCTCATCCTGGGACATGCCTGCTGTGTGACCCATGGTGGACCACGAGAAACTGTCTGTCCAAACCAGACACCCTGTTCCCGGGTGGGTGGGAGTTAAGGAGAGACCCATAATATGTTGAGTCCCGGCTCTGATGACAGCAGTACCACTTGCTGTGGTGGTGGTCCCTTGCCCAGACCAGGCATGTCTCTTCCTAGACAGTAAAGCTCCCCCTGCAGAGGATTTCTCCTCTGCTAAGAAATAAGCCCTCTGAACGGCTGTAAAGGCTCCACTCTCTGCCTGCCAAGCGAAGGTTAAGATGTATGTCTGGGGGGGGGGGGAGGGGGAGGATTTGTGCTTGGCCAGATGCCAAGGCAAGCTCCCAGGAATGAACCCCAGGAGAGGTTGGGAGGCTGTGTTGTTTAGATGGGGACACCCAAAGGGACATGGCCAGTAGCATGGTGGGGTCGCCTGTGGCAGCAGACCTCACCCTGCTGAGGCTTTGGCTCTGCTGGGAGCTCCATGGAGAAAACTGCTGAGGGAGCAGGCACCTGATCCATGCGGTTTCCTGTCTCTGCAGGCACCATCCAAGGACGCTTGTGGAGCCTATGAGCTGCTTACAGGAGCTGAACATATCCCAGGGGGCCTTCAAGCAGAGGGAGCAGCACAGGCAGCCTGCCCAGTAACCAACATGGAGCAGAAGATCAGCTCTTTCTTTAATTCCATTTTGGAGCTCATCCGTACCAAGCATGAGGAAGGCGTCTTCAACACTGTCTGCCTGGCCGTGCTGATGGGTCTGCCCTTCGTCGTCCTCATTGCGTTCATTTTCATCTGCTGCCACTGCTGCTTCTGCAGCCGGAGGGGGAAAAGCAGGAAGAAAGGTGGCACCAGCAGCAATGGGCAGCTGCACACCGAGAGGAACAAGAAGAAAAAGAAGAAGAAGAAGAAGGATGAAGAGGACCTATGGATCTCTGCTCAGCCCAAGCTGCTCTTGCTGGACAAGAGACCGTCCTTGCCCATCTAGCAGACAGGAGGGCGTTCAAGCCCTCCTCTCTGAGATGCCACCAGTCCTTTCAGCTGTGCACTATGAGGGGCGAGCAAATGCCAAAGCTGCTGCCACTTTATAGTGACTTTCAAAAGAGGCTGAGCCCAGCAGCTCACCAGCGTGTTGTTGAAGGGCCAGCAGAGAGCAAGGCAGTCAGGCACAGGTTTATGCAAGCCCCTTCTCCCCCACCATGAGAGCGTGCCTAAGGGCAGAAACCCCTGCAAAGGACAGGCATGTGGACATGTGCCCTGCTGAGCACACGAGGGTGACCTGCCACCAGGCCGTATGTACCTCCTGCCATGAGCACAATGCACACGCTCTGGGCTAGCACGCAGTGACCTGGGTGCAAGGCTCTCCCTCTGCACTCCTGTGCATTCACACGCCTCATCGCGCGGACGAGGGTGCGCAGGACCACGTGCACTCAAAGACTGAGCTGCCTGCACGCTCCCCCTGCACCCACATGAACAGCTGCATGCAAAGCAAGCGCGGGCATGCCTCGTCTGCTTGCCGTGCCACCGAGATGGCACAGCTTGACTGCCTGGGCTCCGTCCAAACCCAGCTCACGCTGGAGATGCAAAAAAAAAAAGCTGAGCGCAGACTTAGCCCACAATTCAAAGATGTGCCATCTCCCTGGCCACCGAACCAAAGGCAACCGAGAGCATCTGAACACAGGTGCCCTCAGCTCAACCTTAGGGACCTCAAGATGCCATCTTAAGCAGCAAAGCAGATGGATGTGTTGCCACCCAGGCTAGGAGCGGGGAGGAGAGAGGAGGTTGCAAGACCAGCCCTTTTGCACCAGCACTTAAAAACATATCTTCCTTAAAAAGACTGTTTTATACAGACTTGCCTTTAGAGAGCCCACCACGCTACTGCAAGAGCAGAAATGCAAGCTGAGGCTGTGTAAAGGCTTGGCTATGGGCATTATAGTTATTTATTGAATGACTACTAAAGAAGAGCAGGACCAAAGGCCCCTCTTGTTGTGGGCTAGGCACACCGAAGCAGTATTGAAGCAGCAGACATGCTTTCCCGGCACACTCGGCCGCTCCCCCTCCCTGCTGCCCTCGTGCCACGCACAAGGCACACGCAGACCCACGAGCACGCGCTGCCGCCAGCTGATGCCACACAGGCAGGTTTCTGTACAGCCGTCAAGCCAGCCGGCTTTGGGATTTGGGATGTACTGTAGGAGCAGAGGGGAGTAAAGTTCATGCCCACAGTCATCCCTTACCCAGGGATGCATCATACAGCTGGACCCTGCATCGCTCTCCGTCCTCATCTCCCTTGAACGTGCAGCAGCTCGGCCGAGCACAGCAGCTAACCAGACCACACATGGCTCTCACCCCTACTCTGGCTTTGACCCTCTGCTAGCCCTGTGCCTGCATGCCCAGCCTACCTCCTGAGGAGCTGGGGGGTCTCCTCTGCCCCCCGCTCTCTGCCCTGCCAGGCTCCATCTCCCCCAGCTTGTTCTGCTAGCAAGGGATACACACGTGTGATGAGAAGCCCCATCACATTTGGCTTTTGCCTTGCATCTGTACACTGGATGTTTTCCTCCCACTTTCTTCCACTTCTTAAGCTGCCGGAGCAGACTGGAGCTGCCAGCCAGAGCCAGACATCTGGGGGACAAGCCTGGACGGAGCTGCCAGACATGACCGCTTCCAGCCCGGGCAAGGGCGATGCCACCTACCCTGGCTCCCGGGGCACACACCGGCGGGGGGGCAAAGCCACTGGTTAAGAGCTGCCGCTCGTGCCACCCAGTCCCAGCGCAGCCTGTTTTGTCCGACCCAGACAGGGCGGTGATGTTAACATCACATCACAGTTTTGGCTGCGTGCGGCTGTGCTGGTAACAGCCAGGAGGCCAGGCTCCTCCTCACACAGCCCTTTAAATTGACCCCACATGTGCCTTATTTTCCAGCTTCCTTTGTTAGCATTGAAATAAATGACTCCCAATTCCTCCAAAACAGGAAGCAACATATAATGCTATAAAAAAAAAGGGGATTTGCCACACCTAATCCTAGAGAGAAACATGCAGGAATAGCTCTGGTCTCTGTCCCAAACCCCTAGTCCAGCCAGGACGCTGGAGCACCAGCACTGCACTTGTATTATTCCTTCTTCCTTCCCTCCTTTCCCCCAGCCAGGTACTTTTCCCAGCCCTCCTGCCTCCAAGCTCACCAGGTGGGCAAAGCAGCCTCCTCCGGCAGGCAGGGGAGCTGCCCACGCAGGTGCTCCTGCTGCAATCCAGAGGCACCAACAGCCCCGGAGGGAGGGCGGTGCTGCCTGGAGGAATCAAAAAAAAAAAAAAAAATCAGAGCAAAGGGAAACACAATGGGAGGCCAGCGGCTTACCCAAGCAAGCAGGGGCACGGAGGCAGCCAGCTCCAGCAGAGTACAGCCTATCTAGTGTAGTGCTGCTGGGCTTCGCATGGCTCCCTGCAAGGAGGTCCTTCTCCGAAAGGGTTACCTGCTTAGTTTCAGGCGAGGGCAACAAGAACTAGTGAGCTGTCAAGAAAATACCGGTGTTGTGTCACACACAACATCTCCGATCCAGGCTTTTAAGAGTTCAGAGCCAGGTCTGAATTTCAAGAGCTCTCAAAAAATCATCATTCAAGCCACCCCTGGGCTGGGCAGGGAAGGACCAGGATCCAACCCTGCCCTGATCCGTCTGACCAGCGGATGGCCCGAGCCTCTACACCCCATAAAGCACGGGGGCTGACTTGCTGGAGGATTGCTGGTTTAGCCAAACCAGCCACTGAATCAGCTGCTTCTTGAGACAAAAGCAAAAGAGCAGCAACAGCCTGAGGTGCATCAGGACCCATCAGCCAGGCAGCAGCAACCCTGCAGCACCCACACTAACAAGGCAGCAGGAGGCGCATGGGCCCCCACTCTCCAGCCACCTCCGCGCTGCCTCCCCACAGCTGCATTTCAACATCAACCTTTTATTTTCCTAAATAGTCCATGCAACCGGGGGGGGGACCCAATTTTTTTGCAATGTTTCTTTTTTAAAACAAAAATAAATGACTCTCAAACTGCAAACGAATGCTGTGTGTCTAGCTCTCAGTCACGTGTTTATTCTTCTGAGGAAATCTTTCTTGTATCTGCGTCCTGGCCCTAGATAAGACACAGGGAGAGCTCTGTGGGCAGAGGCTGTGCAGTCTCTGCCTGCAGCCAGCTGTGCAGCTCAGAGAGACGTATTCTTAAAGAAACAGCCTAGCTTAATCAACTTCAGTGGCCTCGCCTTGTTAACGAACACAGCCAAACACCTCTCCTCAAGGGCAAAAAGTAGCAGGGAAGAAGAAAAGCAGCGTTTCTGCACTGCGGGAGGTGGGCTGCAGAGGGGTTTTTCCTTGCAGAGGGTTGGCGGCACGGACCAGTTAACCCCAGTTGGTTTAGATCAGACAAGTATTTCACTGTGTCTGCAGCTTCTTGCAGCTGTCTGTATTGGGCACGTCACGGGACCAGGCACACACCTCTGCGGGGCAGAGCTTTTCCAAATAGTGCACAACCAAGCTCTCCCTCCACGAGAACAAAAATAAACCTGCCTCTCACCTGGACGATGCACCAAGCTGCACCTTGCCCAGAGAGCTGAGGCTCTGGAGGAGACTGGTGGTAAGAGGCATGCAGGACCACAGCAACAAGCAGCTAGAAATGGCAGAGACACACTTTTGGGGGAAGGAATGGGCAGTGCACACCTTGCTTCTCTCCAGACAGCAGCCCTGCGCACCGTATTCAGGACCAGGCGTTCTTGGGTAGCGTGGACTGCAGAGAGAAGGGGAGGTTCCTGGGTCCCAGATTAGAAACAGGCAGGGGTCAATGTCAGGTTGAGCATCCTGGAGCCATCCAGGGATTGAGAGGATGCAAAAATTGCCCCTGCAGGCCCCTGAAACCCCACGAGGAGGGGAGAATGGGATCTTCACTGATTATTCCTCTTATTCAACCAGCAAAGCCTACAGCAGTGACCAGAAATAACAGTGCTGCTTTCCAAGCAAGGGCCCAGTACGTTAAGACTGTCCTGTCTACCCTCCAAATTACACCATTCGGAGTGCACCATCTTTGGGAAGAGGCATGCCTTCTCCCTCCTCCTCCCGCCTAAGTGCTGGGACAGCAGGGAAGTGGGCAAAGAATCAACCACCTCTCCCCCTGCAGCGGTGTTTCGCTGGGGTCCCCTTATAGCAGCACTGGTTGTGCTGCACCCCCAGATGTATCACAACAGGTAGGTCCTGGCTCCTGGGGCCCAGCAACGGGACAGTCCCCATCAACACAGTGATGCCAAGGCAGAGAGGATCCTTCTGGGATTCAAATTCTGCCACTGGGCATGTTACAAATCTCACTGGCTATAAAATGTAAGTGATCTCAGGGCAAGGCAGAGGTTTTGAGAATCTGTTTTGGCCTTACGGCATCACCATTACAGGACTGCGTGTAGCAGCAAAACAAGGGTAGTAAGAGGATGTGAAATTTTTATGGGACTACCTCAACCAGCCTGAGCCTTGAACAGCCAGTTCCTGAAGGCAAACAGACCGCATCATCTGAGCGGTCCCAGCTTCTAAAGCTGTAGCACAGGCTCTGGTTAACCCAAAAAGGTCTTTCCACAGAGGCCAGCTAGATAGGGGAGAAGTTTCTCCTGCACTACCATGAAGAGATGATGCCATCCTGTGGCTGTTCGGAAATACTGACTTCCCACAATGGTTTTCCAGCCGCTGCCACTTTGCCTTTCCTGGTGAAAGAGGGGCCCATAATTAGGAGAGACGAGTAAATCCTCCTCAGAAACAGAAATTTATCTCTGAAATACAAAGGTCATACAGCTTAAGAGGATATTCCCTGCTCTCAGGTAAGATTCAGCTTCAGAAGGGGATCATGCTTTGCCTCCGAGGTTTGCACAGGGAAGAGCTGCAGGGCGCAATCCCGGCTGCTGCTTTTTAGAGCACGCGCTTACTTTTAGAGTGGCTGCGCATCAGCCTAGTTCTCCGGTCCCCCTCAGTCACCTTCTTCATGCCTACACTGTGCCTTTTAACTGAACAACATAGTGAAACCTGTCCTCGCCTACAGACAAGCGGGCAATCACTTCACCACTGTAAAGAACCCTCATCATTTTCCCATGCACTTCTCTCACGCTCTTAGCACAGAGCCTGCAAAACACTTCAAGCGCAATTTTCCTTTCCTCTCCTCCCTCCGTTACTTGCCTCCTTCCCCCATACCGGGGCTTGGCTATCCCAACGCAGCTCAGATGAGTCTCTGCCTGCCCACCCATGCAAGACGCATAGCCCTGAAAGTACTACTGCCACCCAAAGCAAAGACGACAGAAATATTTTAAGAAAGACCTCCTTTATTTGCAATTTTATTGCTTCCCCAAAGTCTGGGAAGGATTCTCTAAAATGTATTACTCAGCTTAGCACTGGGATAGGAAAGGCCATTAAGACATAGGACAATCATGTTCCAATCTGCTCAGACAAGGAAGCCTTTTAGCAAGCATCATTTGGTGAGCTCATACTTCTTCCCTGGCTGTAGCTGGTGGCCCAGAATTTTAATATCTGCTCAGGGAAAGAAAATAAAAACTCACCGTTACAGCTGTGAGGAGAAAAAGCAGCCAAATGTGAAACCATGCACTGGGGCCCACTTGAATCTGCAGACAGCCAGAGAAAAAAGCCTGACAGAGAGCATGCAGGATGGGTTTAACTAGAGATGTTCATTTTAGAGGAGGATGACAAGCATTATCATTTCCACATCACTAGCTACCACACTGCCAACGAAAAATCAGGAGGTGGCAGATGGGACAGTCGCATAGGGAATTTTGTTCACGGTCTGCAAGTGGCCTCTTAGGCAAGCAGTGTGCAGAGACGGGCTTGGGACGGTGAGCAGAGCTTGGAGGAGTATAGCCCTTAACGCTCACCCTGTTCTGGGCCTCACATGGGACCGTGAACATAAACTCACTGCATGTCCTCTCAGGCTTTTCTTTGGGCTGAGAGACAAGACAAGGAAAATATAGAGCAAATCACCTGGAGAGATGCGATACTAGAGGCTGAGGAACCCAGGCTACAGACCTCACCTGGATTAACGAGCCTTGCCAGCAGTCTGACAACATTTCCCAAAACCCAGCTCTTTGACTGGAGGCAGAGTTGGGAATGTGCCCCAAATTATGAGGAGAAAGGAACTTTTTCCACAGACCAAGACAGGGAGAGGGGATGGTCTCAGGAAAGCTCTCTCTGATGTAAATTAAGGAGCTATTATTTTTTAGTGGGATCAAATTTAAGTTTTTGAAGTCTGAAGTGGATGGCACCAGGAAAGGGCAGAATTCAGAAGAGTTAGCCTGGATTTTGAGAAACAACATCATGTGATAAAAACTTGTTTTATGTCAAGTTCATAGGAGTTGCATACATTGGATCAAGCAGGTCCTTGTCATGTTTAGCCAACCAGAGGAGCTACAAGTTGGATGCTCGCCACAAGCCCCCTCCCAGTCTCTGACAGATCACCCATCAGGAGCTCCGAAGGCTGGAAGCAGGCTGGGCCTGCAGATCCAGAGGTCTCTGGGTGCACGTCAGTCAGCGGTTGTCTCCAATGTATTGGAGAAAGCTGTCTGAATCTAACTTCATTAAGAAATACTGAATCATTATCTTTGGGTACTGTCCTGCACAGAGTTTGATTTAAGCCCTGATCTTCTTCCTCTTCCCTGATAGAGATCTCTTCTTCCTCCCCAAGATTGGCTCATTACTGGAAGACTGAGGACGGATCTTCATCTCAGTAAAAGGGATGGAGAACTCATGGCCTTTCCATGGCTCCCAGTTCACCCCCTGGGAAAAGACCAAGGAATTTCTTTCATTAAAGCACCCATACCAGGTTTTAGGAACCTAGCACTGCCCCCCTCTAATACCATTTAAGTCTCCAATAAACAGAGACACTATTGTTCACCAGATTTTGACTGTAATTACAATCAGTCTTCCAGACACTCCTACTATAAATCAAAACTCTATCCAGTCTGGAACACAACAGGACTGAGCCATCTTCAAGCCCAGAATAAGCCTGTACAATGAGATGCACACCAAGGCATGCACTGAAAGCCAAGGTATAGGCTACGTGAGACAGTGAGCCAGCATCCTAGTGTTTTATGTGCTCCCCTCAGAAATCAAGACAGCTCCACCTCAAGTATCTCTGCCCACAAGAATCAGGGGGCCATGAGCTCAAGTCTTCTGGATCCAGGGAGGAGAGAGTAAGAGCCATAAGCTTCTTATGGATCATTTTCCTTTCAAATTAAATGAGTTAGGATAGCCTGGGCAATCTCTCCTGCTCCCCCCACCATGTGTTTTCTCAAGGCTAGGGAGAAGAGCTAAGCACCACACAGAGCTCTGCCACTCACCTCACTGTGTTTGTTCTCCCCATATTTCCCATTGAGGTTGGCCAAGTGGCAGTTCTTATACCACCAGGCACCATGGTGTGTCAGAGCACAGTTACTGAGAGCCACATCGTTGTCTCTGTCCCACGTTGTGAACTTCCAGCCATTGTGGTAGGTCATTGCATCCCCTAAGGGAAAGGATGAAAGGCATGAACAGGAGTAAGAGACTACAGCTGCTCAGCCTGAGGGCTTATACACCCTTCAGGCAGAACAGAGCAGGCCTGTTAGGGGAAAAGCAACAGCACAGGATGGGTCTGGACAATAATTTCTAAATGGCTGCTATTAGAGGGCATGTCCAAGGGCTGGATATTCCCCCAGCTGAAGATCTAAACGTTATGGCAAGAGGAGATTAAAGGTTAAGTGGAAGACTATGGACACAATGGCACTGGTAAGGATTTACCAGTGGCAGAAGCCAGCACTGGGATGGCTACTGCTGTTGAGCAAACTCCCATCCTGAACAAAAGCCACTTTTCTTTGTACTTCTCAGCTGGGGAGCCCCAGAAGTTGCTCCTCCATCAGCACAGGTTACCTCATGGAAATGCTTCCCAGTCTGCCTTTTCAGCTGGTGTTTCACTAGGTTACAGAGCCCTCTCCTCCCCATGGAAAGGCAACACTTTTTCCCATCTTCAGC